TGGTAAAAGTATTAATTTAGAGAATGATGAAGAATAAATAAATGACAAGAAAACACATAAGAAGTAGTAACTTTCTTTTTTTTTCATATGTTATCCGTTTGTTAACAAATAAATACTGTTTTTTTTTACCGAACAAAAAATAAAGATTTTCTTTCAAAACAAGATGCGAAAGCAGTTCTAATTCACTTTTTTATAGATTATTATTATATTTAAAATATTTAAATGGATAAATATTTAATAGAAGTCTTTAATTTAGAACCTAATGTTAATCATATCACTCCACTAGATGAGTTTAAACTACATCGTAATTTCGATGCTTTCACTGCAGCATTAAAAGAATATGCTTTAAAACAAAAACTCACTGATGTCGAACAATTTTATTTTAACATTGAAACTGATCCTCGTCGTAAACCTATTTATCAAATAAGTCAAACACATTTTGATAATTATTTTCTGACTATTCATATGATTTTATCCAATCCAGTATTAATAAATACACCAACATTTACTAATCTTTATCGTGAAAAACATTTATTATCTGAAATAACTGATCATATTATACATTTATATGACACACTCGATTCGAAACTATCTCGATTTTTTAATAAAACTTTATTAGAAAAATTTATTCTTAATCTTGATTTCATTTCATTATCTGATGATACTACTGGATCTGAATATAAAATATATTTCAAATTATTTACTCAAGAAACGTCTCGATTAAAATCATATTTAATTGAATTAATAAAAGATCCTAAATGGTTAGAACATTCTGAACAAGGTTTATCACAATTTGAACCTGAACTATATCAATTCGCATTTGAATATCGTACTGGTTTAAAATTAAAATCACCCAATGATTTTATTCAAATGAAATCTTGGGCACAAAAACATTTAGATGAACTTATGAAAGAACTTGATCAAACATGTAATCGTTTATTAACAAATGATATAGATAAACAAAAATCAACATATGATAAAATGATGCTTGTCGGTGAAGATCAAAGTCAACGTTGGTTAACAAAACAAGACATGATTGATGCACATCAATTATGTATATCAAAATATCGACAAAAATTTATTACACAAAAACAATTTAAAGAATTTAATCCACCAGGTCTTATTGTTCTTGATAATCCATTTCTAGCTGGTGGTTATTATTATAAAGGAAATTTTTATTTAAATGTTTTTCATTGGAATAATGGAAATTTTAAATATGAAGTAGAAACTTTAACATTACATGAAACAATACCAGGTCATCATTTACAAATTGATATTGCGTATAATTCACCTTATGTTGATCATTTAACTGCCGTTGATTTTGCACCATGTAATGGTTTTATTGAAGGATGGGCATTACTTGCAGAACATTTAGGTGATCCAATGGACGATGATCCATGGTCATATTTTGGTTATTTACAATCAAATATTTTACGTACATTTCGTATTATTGCAGAAATTCTTTTACATGTCGAAGGACAAACACCGAAACAAGTTGTTCAATTTGCAAAACAATATTTAGCAACGAGTGAAGAAGCAATAACAGGTGAAATTTATCGTTATACAGTTTTTCCAGGTCAAGCATGTTCATATAAAATTGGTTTAGAAGCATTTAAACGTGTTATAAAAGAAAAATTTAATGTTGTTCAAGTCAAAGATTTATTAAGATCAGATATATTAGACTGGTATAAAGAAGTTCTATGGCGAAGTCACAGACCAATTGATGTATTCTTGCATGAAAATGGTGTTACATGGACATTTGATGATTAGTTCTTTTCTTTTTGTTTTATCTGATTTACTAACATAACTGCATCTCAATTCAATATATAAGCATACTTCAATAGATAGATATAATATAAATCAAGTTCATACTATTGTCATGAAAATCCATATCGAATAGTATTTATCGAAACACACAAATATGAATAGACAGTTTACCCTGCACTAATAAGAATAGAGTTTATGTATCTAATAGAAAACTGAGTTAATTTTATTTAAAAAAACAATAAACAAATGAATTTCAGTTATTTTTTTCCAGATCGTGCACGATAGTTTTGAAACCAAATTCTTATTGATGATAATGGTAAAACGAGTTGTATAGCGAGTTGTTCTTGATCATAAGGTGTTGGATATCGATTATTTGCATATGCTTGACGTAAATGCCATATTTGCCAATCAGTTAATTTTCGTCGTGGCTATAGAAAGATAGATTAATATATGATATTAATTGATTTGATGATACATACTTTTCGATCATTAACGGTTACTGTTGATACTTGATCAATATTTTCTTTATTATTGTTACTAAGAATCGACATAGAAGAATTTAATGAACTATAACCAGTATCATCTAAATTAAATATAAAAAAGTATTTTATTATTTGGTTTATTGAACGTTTAAAATTAAAAACTATACTTACCTGAACCAATCGGATCGCATATTTTTTTTGTCAATATAAATTTAAAAATATAACTTACCATGTCTTTGAATAGGAAAAGGAGAAGAATTAAGTGTTACGGAAGATGTATTTAATGAAGATATTGCTAATGATTCGATTGAACGAAAATCAAATCGTGGTTTGTATGTTTGATGTGGTGTACTTGTCGTTACTTGAATTACTTTTCGAAATGAACAACTATAAAGAAAATAATTTTGTTTAGAATTGAATAACTTAAATCTTTACTCTTACTTTGGACTTGTATTACAAATATCAATATCAGATGAGCATGAAGAAATTTGATCAACATTGAAAGAATTCATTTTAGTTTAATGAAGAAATTTTCATGTTATATATTTATATATATATGTATATGTATATCCACTTAGTAAAGCTATCTAGCAATCAATCAATTAACGATGATGCATCCAACTCTAGCTGATAGACGTAAGTCAATTACAATGATCTGCATAATATGATGATTATGATGAGGATGATGATGACGTGAATATATGCTTAAGGTGAGTTACCTCTACTCTTCCAAGTGGATTATTGAATGCTTTTCAATTTACACATCAACGAAAGCCTTTTTGGTTATAGATGAATTTATAATTAACAATTGAATATCGAGTAATACAGTTTGTTATTCATTCAATTTTATCATTATATGAAATACTACAAGTATCATTTTTTAAATGATTCAGTCGTTACTATGTACATTATGACTTTAGATGATATTTTTTTTTTATTGAAGAATGAAATTGATTGCGTCGTTACGAACAATCGATGACTAATTGATATAATATCGCAGTTCTAACGTGATTATTGTGTTCATTGATTTTTGTCTGATGTAAAAAGAATAGAAAAGAAAAAAAAAAACGATTTTTTTCACATCAATAGTATAAATTCAAGGTAACACCTATTTATTGATAATGGCAGCGATATATTACTATTACAGACTCTCTTATTTCGTCGACTGCGTTGTTTTAGAGAAGGGCAGTTAATGTTGTTTTTTGTGGTTATTATATCGATTTCCTCTTTTTCGTTTTCTTTTTTTTTGTCATACGCATTTCTTTTTTTATGCCAATATAATAATCGATATGTCAAGTGCAGGAAAGCGACTATTTCATTTCGTGTAATGTAAAAATAACAAGATCAATAAAAATTTAGTTATATATATATATATACATATAGGTACTTATAAACTCAAAAGAAACCTAAGCAATACTTTATTAACAGTGATGATGATGAAATGTAAATTATATGATTTTTTACAGTACATTGATTAAAATCAAGTACAACGAAACATACCAATGGGTTCGATTAATTCCAAATCAATAAATGACAATAATTATGTAAATATTCATCCTTCGAAAAAATCTCATCGTTTATCATTATTTAATCGCCATCGATCGATATTATCGTCATGTAGTTATAAAACAGATGACAATGATTTACGTTCTATCTTTAATAAACGACGGATTTGTTCGAAGAAAAAAATTCTTATATTAGGTTTGGATGGAAGTGGAAAAACTGATCTATTCAATCGATTAATATCTGATAAGAAACAAGAATTAAAAAATGATTCTCCTCCTCAACCAACAATGGGTAAGTTTAAATATTGATTTTTATGAGAAGAGAATACTTTCATATGCTTATAGGTTATAATGTTGAAACAATACAAATTCGTTGTCATCGTTTATATCATCGTCGATATCATAAAATAACATTATGGGATTGTGGTGGTCATGCATCTCTTCAACCATTATGGTCTTATCATTATTCAAATACTTCTCTTCTTCTTTGGCTAATTAATATATATGATCGATCAAGATTAGATACAAATCTTCATTTATTGTCACAAATACTTACAAATCCATTACTCTATCGTGTTCCAGTTCTTATTGTTTTATATAATTCTTCTTTTAATCAACAAAAACAAAATGATCCAAATGCAAAACAAAATTTATTAACTAATCTTGAAGTATCATTTCGTTTTTTAGCTACACTTTCTACACCTCGTGCAAGTACATTCAAATGGCAAGTTATTAATGTTACATTAAATAATACTGACTCACAAACAGATCTCAAAAAAATTCGACAATGTTTTCGTGAACTTATGGAACTGTAAAATATTCGTTTTTTTTTAATTTACAATCATTTTCTTATTTGAGAAAAAAAAGCAAATTTTATTATCGATTGTCATTATTTAAATTTTTCATATCTAAGTCTTCTCGTGATGTGTATTAAGAAGAAGATAAATAGAATTATATCAACTTGTTCTATCGTTTAGATGATATCAGTTTTTTTATTAGTTATTATAGTGAAGATGAAAGAAATAGGATATGTATGATTAGTCAATATTTGAGTATATGAAAATATTCTATTACAAAAGTATTCATTTAAAATTATAGAAAAAAAAAAATCTTTTTATATATTCATTGACATATAGGTCTAAAATCATTAGGAATTCTTTTTCTATATGATAAATAGATGACATTTCAAATTGTTCTTACCCTGACATGTTCATTTAACATTATCTCAATGCTACATTTGTTGTCTTTTCGACAGTTTCCTTCGGATAAGCTAATTAATCATAAGACATACTAATACTATCTCTTGGTATCTGATAATAAAAAAAAAAGCGGAAAAGAAAAAAGAAATATCTGCTTTCATTGATCGAGTACCCTACTACATTTGATTCATTGCAAGTATTTATTATCAAACGATGGGTTCAACATCGTTGATATTATTATTATTGTTATGCATTGTATTTATTACAAATAATGAAGGTGAATTAATTGAAAAACTTCAAGATAAAATGAAAAAAGTCTCAACAGATAATTTCGGTGTTAATGTTAAACGATTTGATCATGAAGAAATGATGTTATTTCCCAATATTGGAGTTCAACGTAAAGAAGGTGATTGGCGTTTAGATTTACATGGTTGGCGTTTTCAATCATCAGCAAAGAATAAAATGTTAGGTAAATTATCATCAGCAATGGCTGAACGTATTGCTCGTTTAGTTGCAAGTTCCGATCAAATGGTTTATTATAATGATACATTTCAACGTGATCGTTTGAAACCATTTATGGTACAAGATGCAACAAATAAAAGAATTTTTATTATGATTGGAACAAAACATAATTATACAACGAAAACAGATGGTGAAGGACTATTTCGAACATCATTTATTGTTCCTAATGCTGATGTACAAGAATTAAAAAACGATCAAGTTATAACATATAAAGCAGTTGGAGATAATGCTGATATATGGGAAGGAAAAATTCATTTATTAGAAAGACAAGGATTATCTATTATATCGAGTATTGATGATACAATTAAAATTAGTGAAGTTGTAGATAAAATTCGTTTGGTAGCAAATACATTTATTCATGAATTTCGTGTTGTGGAAGGTAATTCAATCATTTTGTTTTCTGAACTAAAACTTAAATCGAATTTTGATAAATTTATATAGGAATGCCGGAAGTATATCGTGGATGGAAAAGTAAATATAATTGTTCATTTCATTATTTGAGTGCTATGCCTGATCAATTATATACAATTACAAAAGATTTTCTTGATGATCATAAATTTCCCGATGGTACATTTCATATGCGGTAAGATTGCATATATATTTTTATCTTAAACTATTATTTGTTTATTTATTATTAGTCATTTTCGTTCGGCTTCAACATCAATTTATGATTTTGTTCATTCTGTAGGTAAGTATCATGTTGAATTTCATAATATATTAATTTTATAAAACTATGAAATAGAAACAAAAATGCATAAAATCAATCTTTTACGTTATTTTGTTTTTAATACATTACATTCATTGGTATTAGTTGGTGATTCAGGTGAACATGATCCGGAAATTTATGGAAATATTGCACGAGCATATCCAAAACGAGTAAAACGTATATTCATACGAGCTGTTAAAGGTGAAAAATTTGATGATGCACGATTTGTTAAAGCATTTAAAGATGTTCCAAGAGAAAAATGGTTGATTTTTAATGAGCCTGCCAAACATTTACCAAAAGATTTAGATACTACAGCACTACCAACACCATCAAAAAAACCATAATAAAACTTTATTCTCTAAACATTTATTTTTCAATTTTAAAATTAAACTCGTAACATAGTTCCTAAATATATACTATAGAAATCATAATTCTTATTTGTGTTTGTTTGTATCTACGCGTTTTTCATTTTGTAAAATTTTTATAATTAAAATCTTACAGTTTCTCGTTTTAAATAAATATTTCAATCTGCAATCAAGTCTGTTTGATACCTACGCCATCTATTATATTGAAAATTATGTTATTCATTTGCTGAGGATAATTAACGAATGAGTAGCTAGGTCTTGGCTAAATTAAATAGAACAATCACTTTACTATTTTATTTCATTGAAAATTTTGTTATTATCTATTAATGATTACAAAAAATTTCTCCGGTGCTCTTCAATTAACTGATTTAGATGATTTTATTGGTCCATCACAAGTATTTCGAATTCATTTTCATATATATACATATTAATTAATCGGTTCTAATCATTTTAGCAATGTATAATACCTATGCAAACAAAACTTGCTGAAAGTAATGATGATGGTCTTATTAAATTACGTACAAAAAAATCTATTGTAGAAATATTTATTTTTATTTTCTATGTTAATATTTTATGTTGATATTTTATAGAAAGTTGAAGAAGAATCAGCACCAAAAATTGCCAAAATAACATTGAATGATTGTTTAGCATGTAGTGGTTGTATAACATCAGCAGAAAGTATTTTAATTGATCAACAAGATTATCGTGAAGCACAACGTATTATTAAACTTAATCAAACATTCGATCAAAACGTATATATTAAACTCTATTTTAGAATTAACCAATAAATATATATATTCATTTAGGATCCAAATAAAAAACTAATAATTATATCAATTTCATCACAAAGTCTTGCATCACTTGCTGCTAGATATAAACTTGATGGATTAACATGTGCACGACGAGTAACATCATTTTTGAAAACAAAGTATTAGAATTTTGTTTCAATTAAATAATTTATTAATTTACATCTTATAGATTAAATATTGATTATGTTTATGATATAGCATATGCACGAAATTTTGCATTGATTGAAATCAAGAATGAATTTATGAAACGATTTCAAAATAATCGTCAAAATTTACCATTACTTACTTCGGAATGTCCAGGTTGGATTTGTTATGCTGAAAAAACTCAAGGCGAATATATTATTCCATACATAAGTAAAGTTAAATCACCACAGCAAATTCTTGGTTCATTAGTTAAACAAAATCAAAATCTTAATATTTATCATGTATCAATTCAACCATGTTATGATAAAAAACTTGAAGCATCAAGACAAGATTTTTATAATGAACAACGAGAACAATATGATATTGATTGTGTTATATCAACAGGTATGAAGAAAAAAACGAAATTAGATCGAAAGATTAATAGATCTATTAATTTAGGTGAATTTGAAAAATGGCTTACCGAAGAAGAATTCGATGCACAATCTACATCGGAACTTGATTATGATAAACCGTAAGTTTATATTTATTTTTCTTTTAATTCATTTTAAATTGATATGAATAGATATTCAATGAAAGATGAAAATGATCAGATGATTCTTACACATCGTGGTAGTGGTTCCGGTGGTTATCTAGATTATGTATTTCGCTCTGCTGCTAAAGAATTATTTAATATTGATATGAATGATACACCATTAGAATTTAAAGTGACTAAGTATAAATATATTTCTATATTATTTTAAAAATAATTTTATATATTTTTGTTTTTGTAAAATAGAAATCAAGATTTTCGTGAAACAGTCTTGACAGTTGGTGGAGAAATTCAACTTCGTTTTGCTTATGCATATGGTTTTCGAAATATTCAAAATATCGTACAAAAATTAAAACGAAAAAAATGTGAATATGATTTTGTCGAAATTATGGCATGTCCATCAGGGTGTATTAATGGTGGTGGACAAATACGTAGTAGTGATGTTACTCTTGACGATGTTCGACATATATACGAAACATTACCGCATCTTGATCAACCATTAGATTTACGAATAGAAGAAGAAAATTCTATTCCATTATATACTGAATATCGGCCGATTGAGAAAAATTCCGCGAATGCTTTTCATTTGAAATGGTAATTTATTTTTGTTTTGTTTATTTATTCCAGATAAATAAGAATCAAAATGTCACTCGATATTCTTACCACTTCACAACCCGAACCATATGATCTCGAAGAAGAAATACAATTAATGGATACTGATGAAACAAATCTACAAGTAGAAGAACAATCAACAGTTCCAACTATAGATGTTGTTCAGAAACAAAAACAACAGGAAAACACTGATGATAAAACAGAAGAAGTACCATCATTAGTTGTTATTGAGGTTTGTTTAAATATACAAAAAATGCTTTCTAATCTATTGATTGTTTTTTAAATAGAAGCGCAAAGTATATATTCGTGATGGACCTGATACTCATCATGTAGAAGCAATTCCAGTTGTATGTACAGAAAAAGTGTTTTTCATATATATAGTCACATATTTATATTTCATTTAGGATGAGAAATATTATGAATTACCAACTACAGATCAATTAGCATCGATTGAATTATTAGAAGAAAAAATGAAAGATATTTTGGAAAGGTAATTATATATAATATGATTTATTACCTACATTTAAATCATTCTATTCATTTTAGTTTAAATTTAACAATTGAAGATTTTCGTACATTATCATCGCTGAGTGGTAACTCACGTCCTGAATCTCTTTATATTCGTGGTGTAACTAATATGAGTACACAAGAAATTTTCAATTGTTTTGAAGAATTTAAACCAATTGGTATTGAATGGGTTTGTGATCATTCATGTAATATCTTCTGGTATGATACATTAACACCAATACATCTGCTTGCAATAAAAACTATACCTGGTCCAACTATATCTCATCGACGACCTGTTAATTATGATCATGCTATGCGTTTAAATAAACGAAAAGCATCATCATTATCATCAAATGATAGAGAAAATAATTCAGCTGATGTTGCGCTTCCGCCTGGTCATTGGCGTGAAGGAAGTTTTCAAAAAGATGATAAACCAGAATCAACTATTAAATTATATATTCGATATACAACACTTGACGATCGAAAAGTACGTGGCGCAGAAAATCAATCAGAATATTATCGACAATATGGAAATCCAAATTATAAGTAAAAAACGAAATATTTGTTTGTTTTTGCATATGAATTTGAATTTTATTTTAGTAATATGACTGGTCTTATATCTCGTTCTAAAAAACGTTCATTAAATGCAATGAAACCTAACAAATTTCGAGATTTTACTGTTATTAAATCAAATGATCCAACAGTCACATCGAGTGATATCGTCGAAGAAATACCATTAGCACCGGAAGATAATACACCAGATGCTAAAGTTAAATTTACTGTTGTTCTTCCGCCAGAAAAAATCTCAGCAACTAAAGATGAAGAAGATGATTATGAAGGAGATCATAGATCTAAACGACAACGAAGACGATCATGGAGTAAGGATGACGACGAAGAAGAACGACGACGCAAAGAAAAAACACATTTTACTGTAACTATGGATTCTGCTGCTAAAACTCGACGAGATTCAAAATCGAAAGTTGATGAAACATCTAAATCAAATACCGAGTATGAATTTATTCTATAAAAATAAATTATTTTAATTATTTTCTTCTTTAGTGATCATCCTGACGATGAAGAATCAAAACCTGTAACTGATGCTCGACAAATTCTTGAAAGAAAACGACGTAATCGACGATAATTTTTCAATTAGTTTAATTTTTTTTGTATTATATAACTAAAGTGTATTCCGATTAGGATTTCTATGTTCATTTTGTTTTGTCGCATCGATATATTCGTGCAATCTAAGTTTTTGTTATGTCAAAATTTTAAAAACTTTAAATATCTTGATATGAATTTATCGAGCATTTTTCTGTTAAATCGATGAACAATTATCAAATGTCTAATCAGCCAGCTCATAAACACAAATAAACATCTCATAGATTTGCTTTCAATATCAAGATTAACTCCTGCATAGAAAAAATATCCTTGGATTTTCATTTATTTTCATGTTCATAAATTTCATACAAAACTTGAAATACAAAAACAATCAAAAAGATTCAAATCGACTAAATATGAAACAGTACTGTAATTAATCTACGTTTACAGAATAGTCACCATTTACTTTTTCGAATATCATGCATCTTCATTTGGATCGTAATCATCATCTTCTAAATTTTCCTGTTCTAATTCATCTTCAACGATTACTGGCATTGGCGATGAAGGCAAATTTGAAGTTTTTGATTCATATCTTGTAAGCGTTTTAACTATGTAACGTATTGGTCGTAACGTTCTCGTGTATGCATGTTTAATTAGACGAAAATTGGTATGTGTCAATTGTGTGAAAGTTTCTGGCTTAAAGTTGCTAGCAAGTCGTTTTTTTATAGAGGCAATCGCTCTTTGTACATCAACTATTGATTGGTGATCTGCCAAATCTAGATTTGATCGAATCGACTTTATTTCATCTATTATTGATATAATTGAACTGCTAACTGTTGATAAATGTAAATCATTAACAATGTTTAATAAGTCTTTTAAGCGTTGTAACGCCTAAATAAAGTAGAATGAAATATAAATAAATTGATACTTAAACTTTGTTTACACGTTTAAATAAAGCATCTTTTTCTTGCTTCATTTGAGAAATTATTTCAGGATGTTCTTCCAATGTAGATTGATTATCTGAATGAGGTACTGTTGGTATAATTGACTCAACTGAATGAATCGACGGAGGCAAATGTTCACTGGATCCATTATAGACTTTAACAAATTCATACCATTGGTGGCGTAATATCTAAGTAAAAAAAAGCATAATTAGCAAATCTTACTATTTGTTCGTTTAATATTTCAATAAAATAAAAATCTTATTTTAGACAACTATACCCTCATCGTTCTCTTTTTTCTTAACATATAAATACCTTTAAGTTGTCATGAAACTGAGAAAATTTTTCATTAAATGTTGAATATATTTCATTCGGTCCAAATTTATCCATATTCTCGCCAAGTAATTTTTTTATTGATTTACAAATATTATTAATATTATCTAAACTATGAGAATGCCATTCAATATCTGCTTTGTCAATTGATTGAATATTTTCATGTAATAATGACATTTTTTGTTTTAATGGATCAATTGTTAAACATACATAACCTTGAACGGAACAAGTATATTCAAATAATTGTATTAAGATTTGATCAAAACTATTATCACTAATAAATTCCCAAACAATCATCATTAAAGTATTACTTGATTCTTTAAATGAATAACCTGCATATGTATTATTCGATGATGTTCTAGAAAAAATAAATTTTGTTTTCCAAAAAAAAGAAAGTCAAATCATACTGATGATTTTCTTCTTCATCATTATCATCATCATCTAATTCAATTTTGAGAACAGGCTCGTATTGATTCCATGTTATAGCACGTGGAGTAGTTTCCGTTACTAAAGGTTTCCTAATAAAATAAATTATCATTAAAAAAATATATATTATTCAGGATTATTGATTTACATTTCTTCGATTTTTAGTGTCATCCTATCAGCACGTGCTTTTCTCTTTCGTTGATTTTTTTTGTTTGGTTGTGTTTGTATATCTGGTTGATTATTAACTTGTTGATTGTTAGCTTAAAACGACAGAAAAAAATGAAATAAAAATAAACGAAAACCAAAGACAAGAATAGAACCTTTCTGAGTGCAAAGATAAACGACAGTACTATTACAACTAAGTCCATATTTTTGTATATATTCGGAAAATGTGTTATATTGATTGACATCTAATCGTTTAAGTTGAAAATCATATAATGATGTTTTAAATTTGGTAGCTTCTGTTAAAATCAATAAGAGAAATGAAATTTAAAAATTATTTTCTATTAATTTACGTATGTTAAAAATATTCAAAAGACTTTGATGAACATCTTTGAAATTCATATCAGTGTTATTCCATTCACAAAAACGAGTACCACCACCACGTGCAAGATTCATTTTTCTTACTTTACCATTTCTACCAAACATTAAACGACCACATCGAAATCTTTTGCTCATTTTTAGATAATTTTATTGATATTCAAATATCTAAAAAAATAAAGATGACACATATTTTTATATAATAACTCATTTCAACAGATAATCTTTATCATAATGTAAAGAAGTCAAATGATTTGAGGTCATTAATATATTACATAATTCGTGTACTAATTCGACCAATAAAACTCGAGATTAAATGGAGGAATAATGAAATATATCTCTGATAAATCAAATAAAAATCGTATCGTATTTTATTCTTATGTTATTAGTAATTCTTTTGACACATATATATATATATATGTCAAACTATAGATTTACTTTAATTATTCAAGATAGATGATTTCTACTAATAAAATGAGCGTTAATCTCTTAAAATATAATGAATAGTCTTTCTATCCGTATTCATTCACTTCAGATACATTATTACGAAAAATGTATTCGTTTTCGTATAAAATTACCTTATTTTTTTAATTTTCTTTCGTTGGCTGTGACCTGCAGAAACAGGAAGGTATCCAAAAACAAGATCTTTGAATGGAAAATAAATTGATAGAAAAAATTCTTATGAATAGCTTTTCTCTTTGTTGAAAAAGAAAACGATACTTTTCAAGTTTTACTTACTTCTTGTTAATCTTGTCGCTAACAATTTCTAAACAGTTCATCCACTTCCACTATGAATATTAATCTCAGAGCTGTATAATTACTAAAAAAATCAGCCGTCTACTTCTTGTCGTTCGCGAGAAGTTAACATGTTAGCTAGAGAATCAATCTGACGAATCGAAACTAAAACGCTCCAACGTATATACTGGTAAAGGAAAAATACTTGAACGCTATCAGAAGAGAACGTTTGGAAAATACAAGCAGATGTAAAATTTCATATATTTATGACCTCTGCACGATAAGAAGGAAATATACGTATATATATCATATATGTTACCTGTACGAGAAATGAGAAAGAAAAGAGAAACAAAAGATATAGCTCACTGACACTACAGCATAGCACATGACAAAATGCAGACATACGTTTCATCAGTGATTTATCAATTAAGAGTTTTAGTTTTTCGCATCAATCCTACGAAAAAATTACAATTCATTCATATATATGTATATGAGTTTAGAACAATAGGTAAAGTTCTTGTTTAATTCTTTATTTTTCTTAAAAAGAAATAACTACAATCTATATAAATTCATTGGAGAATAAGAAAGATTGATAATATTAATAGTCATCTTTTTTGAATATGCACGATTTTCATCACCATAAAAAAACAAATAGAGAGAGGAAAAAAATGAAGATAGAAATATGATCATGAAACAAAAAATGCATAAAAATAAAATTCATATCATATTAAACGAAAATATAGAGTAAAAAACAAAAAAAGTTGTTAGATAAAAATTATGTATTCATTTGTCTAATCAATCTATACACACAAAAATCACACACAGGCACACAGAAGAAGAAGAAGATATTTGTTTTGGTTTATTTTTTAATAACGATAGCTAGAATAAGTACCATATCGACCAATTAAATTCGAGCCAAGATATTTCGATGGTATAACATGTTCTAAATCACTATCACTATCATATTTTGTGCAACTATAAGCTGAAGTACTTATTGGTAATTCATAACTATTTGTATATGTTGTACGAGTACGACTTGCATGACGTGTTGGTACATCATAATGACGAGTACGATAACCTAAATAATATTAAAATAGAAAAATTCTTTTATTATTAATCATTATACTTGAACTTGTATAGGATGGTCGAGATCTTGCTAATTCATTTTCAGCTGAACGTAGACGAGTTTCAGTTTCTTCTAATTGAACTCTTAATTTAGCACAAAGTGCTAATGCTGCTTCAGTAATTAAATGTTGTGGAATAAGTTTATTATTTTTACATGCAGCAATAGTTTCTTCATTAACACGTGAAAAATCAATTTGATTAAGTAATTCTTCTTTTTCCGTACTACTCATTTCTGTTGATTTTTCTATATTGTTTTCAAAACAAAAGAAAAATAGAAGAAAACAAAGAATTTATAATTTAAACAAACCGTTTTTAAGAATATCATCAAGTGCAAGTAAAAGACTATCATGTGAAGTACGTTGTTCTTTTGGTATACATGATGCTAATTTAAAAAATTGTTCACTTGTCAATGTACCTCGTTGACGAAGTTGTTCAATATATGAATCAATTAATAAAGATAACTAGGAAAACAAAAATAATATTATAAATATATATATATCGGTAATATAATAATAGTTACTCTTGCTAATAAATGTGGATCTTTCGTATGTTCTTCTTTATGTTTCACAACACGTTCTAATAATCTTGTCATAACATCATCAGAAATATTCTCCATATGATCTTCAAGATCAGATGAACTAAGAATTGATTGTGTAATAAATGATGATAATATTGGTTCACATTCACATTTTAACTCAACTGCTTTTTCATAAGCAGCATTATGCCATGAAAGTGGTAATTGTTCAAGTGTATTTCCTAATTCTTTAACAATTTGATCAAGTATTGCTCGTTTTTCATCATCAGTTTTTAATGGTATATCTTCTTTTCGTGCAACAGGTGTAAATGCACTTTGATGTTCAGTTGTATTTTCTGTAGCTGTAGTTGTAGTTGTTGTTGTTGTTGTTGTTGAAGGAGACGTATGAGATTGATTTAAATTTTGATTTTGTTCAAGTACATTTGCAGTTAAATAATGTTTAGCGAAAGGAAGTAAAGCAAGTTTACTTTCTGTTGGACATAATTTTATTAATTCAATAACCCATTCAAGTGGTAAACGAGTAATGATTTCACGATCCGATTTACTTAATTGTGAACTAGCACCATGAATTAATGATTCAAGAATAGCTTCAAGACATTTATCAACAATATGTGCTTGTTTTGCCCATTGTTGATATTCACCAACACATTGTTCAAGTAATACTAATGGAATACCTGAATCACATTTCGCTCGTGCAACAGCAAGAATTTTATCAAAACGTTCATCAAGTAATGCACCTAATGTATCACATTCAATAAAACAAGCTGCTGAACGAAGTGGAACAATATTTTTATGATCAATTGATATTGGAATTGAGTAAAAGTAATCTGCTAATTGATTAAAAACATCAACACCACCTGGAAAATTCTTAAGTTCAACAACAGCAGAACTTGTTGATGATGCAACAGCTTTTTTAAAATAATCACTTTTAGCAAATAATGGAAATTTATGAAGTTTAAATTCAGTTGAGTTGACAATAACTGTAATGTCAGATAATTCACCAGTACGACGGAATTTCTCGTAACTCATATTCTACTGTAGAAAAAGAATAGAGCATCAAAATGATGATGATGATGATGTCGACAATCAAGAGAAAAGAAAAAAAATATTTGTTCAACCTTGTGTAGGTTTCGTCAAAAAAAAGAGAAGAAGAAAAAAAATGAAGAAGAAAAGAATGAGAAATAGGCGCTACCGACACAAGTGGCGTTCACACTTACAAGTAGTTTGAAAAAAAACAAAGAAATTCACTTAAGTTGAACTTTGTCGACCCTACAAATATGCATGTGTGTGTGTGTATGAGACAATTCTCGCTTTCTTTCTTTCTTTATATTTGAATACATTACTTTAAGTCTATTCATTATTTCTTTATATATATATATATATTAAAGAAGTACTGTTTTCTTTTCGAAACGAATTTTTATTTGATCTGAAGTTCGTAAAGATTGTGGTGGTATGTCGAAAACAAAAAGCCGCATTACCATTTCTTTTTTAATCAGAAAAGAAACGTATGATCGTGGTTACGAAGAGGCTTCAAATTACTATTGCCATCCGATTGTTTGTTGACGAAGAAAAAAAAAATGTGTTTAAAATATAACTGACAGTTTTTTGTTATTATTGTTGTTGTTGATAATGTCCTTGTTTTTAATACTGAAAATTATAGGTCATATGTTTATAAATGATAAAATCAAATTATAGGAGAGAGAGAAAAAAAAATAAAACTCTACAATAGGTTTCTTTGACGAAATTTCAAACATCTTAAGCTATTATAATGCCAGTAGAAATTTTCGCTTTCATTTTTGTTTTTTCTTTTTTAAATGTATTCTATACCAGTTAGTTCTTTGAATAAGAAATAGTTATTGTTATAAGATAACAATAACGATATAATAAACAGCTAAAAGAGAAAGAAAACTATTTATATTTTTTTAAGTTGATCAAATATTTTATTTATTGAAATAAAATTGAATAAGAATATTAAAAAAAATCATATCACAGACAATTTTTTTCTTTTGTTTTGAATTATTTACTACTTTAAAAAGCAAATGCTTCAGGTCACCAATTCATTAATAGCTTTTGATCGAAAAGAATTTTGTTGTTAAGTTTAATCAAGTAATTTCCATAGTAACGCTTTTAAATATGTTCTATTTGGAATGAAGAAAAAAAACTATTTCAACAAACAAAAACTAAGTCATAACCATTTTAGTTTTAAATCAATATTTAATCACACTATTAACAGATAAAAGTTCATCAAGAATATAAGATAATGCTTCTTTCGATTGAAAAATGTCAATTACAAAAAAGACTTATCATAATCTTGTGATTATTTACATGTAGTACTTTCCGATGTTTTTTTGAAATTGTAATTGTTCATTTGCCGTAGTAATTTATCTTAAGTTATTAAAAGTTTCATTTAGAATAGAATAAAATAGTAATTTGTTGTTTAACGCTTTTCGGTCGGTCGCACCTCTCTACGGTAAAATTTTGCCATTTGGTAATATCCGGCCGGAAAGGGTGACATAATATATATACATATAGAAATTTAACAGTTCCAAGAATGCTGAAGATGTGACTAAGGAGTAATTATCAGAACTCTACTTACATATGTTTAATATTTGCTGGTTTCTTGTAATCAACTGCCTTTCTAGAAACGACCTTCTGTCTAAATAAATATGACGATTGATATTTATCATAACTTTCTATCAGTTTGTTTTATTTGAAAAATAAAAAAAGAAGAAGAGAATTTTTTTTACAATAATAACATAATAAGAACTTTTTAATCTTCAATTAGAACAACATCACTAGCTTGTGTATTATCTTCAATATCATTAAGTTCTTCATCAGGTCCAAACTAAATTTATCAGTAATAAAAATCTTATTTTTCTAATATAAACTTACAAAATATTCAACAAGTGATGGTTTATCTTTTTCAGTATATATAAGAAATTGAGCACAAAGAATACCAGCAGCATCGATACGTAATGATAATTTACTTGCAATTGATAATGCTCGTACGATATATTGAAAAAATTGAGTTTTATATCTAAATAATAAATTAATTCAATATATAAAAATATATATAGAATAAATGTCACCGATTATGTACTGGTTCTGTACATAAAAATGTATCCATAACAGGTGAATCTTGGGTTATATCAACTGATGTGCAACCACCACATCCATTAGCAATAAGACGAAAATGTGGAACATCTTGAGTTATTATTAATTCAATACCTTAAAAATAACACAAAATGAAATAATTAATATATACATAAGAGATATCTACAATCAGCTTTAAGATCAATTTCACTGAGTGCTTCTTTAAATCCATTGGACTATAAAATAAAAAATTCATTGAAGATATTTATTTAAAAATTAATTTTCTAACTTTAAAAACCACTTTAGTTACAACATTTTCTGTTTGAAAATCGAAATCAATTGTATCTGTATCATCTAAGACTTTAATTAAACATTCAGTAATAACACCTTCTTCTTCTAAACTTTAAAAATTAAATCCAAAATTTTCTTTTTGTCAAATTTTAATCAATAAAAATAATTTACTAGAGTTGCAATGGATGAGTTTGATTTTCACGATAATGTATTTGTACAGCAACATTTGTTGGTAATGGTTCATGTGTAACAGGATCGAGTGGAATACCAAAAATATTTAAACAATTCTAAATAAATAACCGTAATGAAAAAATAAAAATAGTTAAAAGAAAATAGATTATACAAGAACAGTTTCAAGATGGAATCGAAATCGAACTTGCTTTGTTAATTCATATGATTCAAAAACACGTGTATCAATAAATGCATTGCCTTGCACACATTGTTTATCTTCCACAATAATTTTTATACCAGTTGGCAATGCACAAAATATAGCATCCTAAATAGATTAGATGAGGAACGATATTAACTGTAAGTATTAATTATAAATAAAAAAAAATTAATTTACATCAGCAAAATGAATAGTTTTGAGTATACTAGCAAGTGTTCGACTTGATTTTAATTTAGCTATAAAAGCAATATCATCACCACCATCAGTTGGTTCTTGTTTTTGAACATTATTATCTTCTTCTTCATCTGTATCTTCTTGATGGGTATCAAATAAAGACATTGAGGTTGAATAACGTTAGTGATACTACAAGAGATATGATTGATATTATTTGAAAAAAGAAAAAATTCAAATACAATTGTAATATTAAACTATATGATCAAAAATTCATATATGATGGTTGATCTCGTAATATTCTTTCGTTCTATTGGTTATATTTCCGTACGAATTATAAAATTTACTAGATGGCGAAAATTTATCCCGAGTTTTCTTCTTTTCCTTACGAATCTTTCAATGTAATCAATATTAATATATATATCTTTGTTTGACAGTTTTAAATATAAACTATCTATTATCAGATACAAGACTTTTGCTGAATTATATTGATAAATATGATACTGAATTTTAATTTGAGCATAAAGAACAAGGAAACTAAAGTGCAGGTCATAACACTTGCAATCTCTTGAAGAATTGGAGTTTTCATTATTTCGTCTTGATAACATCAATTTAGACTTCGAATTTTTGATTATTCTATGTAACTATATTTGTTTTTTTTACATAAAAACATTAAAAAAAAATACATGCTATTTTTGTTTATGTGTAACGAATGGAGACCTGTACGGAGTCATTTTCGGAATTGCTGTGGCAGTCAAATAAATTTTATGTTAATAATTCAACTTTAATGTTAAAGAATATTGGAGTTCATAGATTTGTTGCTCCACATTTTCTCTACAAGATGATCTATTTTGAAGGATCAGCAGACGTCTTAGTGAGCCTCACAAAGTAAAATAAAATACAGAAAAAGTCGGAGTCGAAAATAACTCCGACTTTTCTTTTGTGTTGGTGAGGCTCAACAAAGTATCTACCCATCCTTCGAAATACATCATTTTGTAGAGAAAATGTCGGGGAACAAAACTATGGGTTTCAATATTCTTTAACGTTAAAGTTGAATTTTTGATATGAAATTTATTTAACTTCGACAGCGGCTCCGAAAATGACTCCGTGCAGGTCTCTAGTAACAAAATAAGTTATTATCATCAGTAATAATAGAATGGTTGAAAATTTGGAAAATCATATCTTGCAGGATCAATACTTTTATCGAACAGCGCTCTTCTCTTGCTCATTTGATGATGACGTGATGCGAAGAAGTTATCGTGAGCGGTGAACATTGGAGGAAAATACCGACCAACATGGCGTGCCTTCCCATATGGCTGTTGATATTGTTCTGAATATATTTAAAAAGTTAGCATATATATATATACATTGTTTTGAAAGAACAACTTACGATAACCATATCCTCCTTGATAACCAAGCATAGGTGTCATTGGAGAATTCATTCCACCATAACCTACGAGACATATTGGTTCATTTAAGCTACTGTATCGAAATGGTACTTGACGTAAAAAATTCATAGGATCTCTTTGAACATCTGCTGCAACATTTTTCAATACCTGATCAATGTCAGTATTTGCTGTACAAAGATGACGAAGCAGATGAAAAGTGTAGAGACTATTTCGATCATTCATTGACACACTACTTGAAAATTCGTCTTCAGCACACGCAAAAACAATTATAGTTGCTGGTGGTGCTCGCATTGGTGCAAGTCCATCTCTAAAACCATATAATCCTCTACGGTAAAAACGACTTCCATCTTGCGTTGGATCGCTAACTTCATAACCACGACAAGCATCTAGAATAACTAATACTAGTCTGGGACTTTTTGTATGTATGCTATTGATTATATCCTGAACGTTAAGAGCCGAGGAATCGAGTCGATCAAGAACAACGTTATCATCGTTTATTCCAAGCAAATAGTTAATACCATTATATTGTATGCCATGACCAGAGAAATAGAGTATAACAACAGATCCTGGTTGAATAGTTTGAATAAATTCCCGAGAGAGTAATTTCATCTCATTGGATGTTACATTTGCTGCAGGGTTTGATTGAAATCCCATTGCAGTTAACATATTAGACACATCATTTGCATCATTAATACATGAAGTTAAAGGCGATTTTCTGTAAGCCTCATTACCAATAACCAACGCATGTTTTGTGTACATTGCTATGTTCGCTAATAAGATAAGTATGTAATATGTACTTTTAAACAAGAACTATTGTCAAACACTTTGAATCAACTAAAAAATATAAAGTAATTTTATTTTTTTGTATTGAATTTAATATAATATATTTGCGTAATTCATAAATAAATAGTACTCATAGGAGAAGTATGTGTAGTATCTACTGTCATGATGTCTTCGTTAGAAAACCATTTTAATATTAGTTATCAAAAATATAATGATAAAAATGCACTCAATACTGTTTATTGGCAATAAAAGAAAATAGTCACAAAATTCTTACCTATGAATATTAATGTCTGTAACGGAAATTTTCTGCCTGATCAATATTTTAATCGTATGTTTTTTGTAAAATCTAACAGTAAATTTGATATTTATATAAAAATAATGTGACGTATTTTGTACTATGATTGTATAAAAAATATCTAACATAGTATTCTACGTGTGGCATGACTCACTATTCTCCAATATCAATATGTCTTTTGCTCCTGACAACATCGTTATATACATCAAATTTTCATGCTAATGTAACTAATATCAAAAATAAAAAAATAACGTCTAATAAAATGTTTCGAGTTACCTACTACACTAGAACAATCTTATAGAAATTTCCTGTTAAATATATTCTATCCATCAATTAATTTATCATAAATTCGAATTAAGAAATTTACCACAAAAAAAAAACAAAGAATGTTACTCTAGCGTGATTTAAATAATAGAAGGAGACTATTTGTTTTAGGTATCATTAAAAAAAGGCTTAAATCCAAATATATCCTATAATGATTTGATATGTATAATTATTTTCAAATAATCATCTATAATCTACGATAGATAGTATACTACTAACACTATGTACTACCTCAATTTGTAATAGCAACCAAAAAGGTGAATATGGTGTTTGTTTACCAGACAAATAACAAAATGAGTACAGAGAGAAACCACCTGTGTATATAATATGGTGTTCTTATACGCAAGATCGAACGATAAGTAGGAAGTGATATATTTGTGTTTTTACCATCATGACACTATTACTATATAAAACGACAGACCGTTTAGAAAAAAGTCAGGAATCGAAGCAGGTCATTACTATTTGATTAAATATTACGTTGAATATATTGGTTATCGAACCGTAAATAAACAAGAGTTTAATCAAGTTTTTACAAAACACGATTTCTTGTTTATGATGAAAATTAGAGAGGAAATATGCGGTTAAAGTGCATCGATTGGTTACACAATTTGTTTTCATCATGTGTAACGTTACCAATATATTGGCCAACAAAATAATATCACTAACTTTTCCTTCTAACATACCTATATCTTTTCACCTGAATATTTTAATTAGTAAGTTCAAGGGCATAGTAATAATGTATGAAAAAAAATGGTAAAAGAAAAACAACATAATTAACTTCTGATTGAATATTTTATAGTATTTCTTCCATATTACTTCTATCCTTTTTTTATTAATTTTTCGATTTTTAGTTAATCAGCATAGTAATAGACAAAACAAAATGTACCGTTACTAACAAGTCGTCTTGAATGTGTATAGAAATTTCCTAGTAATTTTTTTCTTAGATTCAATTTATTATAAAAGAAAAATCGAATTGATATAAAAAAGAAGGAGTTATCATAAAGTTTTCTTATGTCTTTTCCATTAACTATTTAATCGTAGACAGGTAATTTGGTATGATAGTTCAATTTAGGTCCATCGAAGTTATTCTTTTGAGCAGCACGATTTAGTGCAAAAATACATAACTAAAGAAAATTAATTTCATCGAATAAATGTTAATATTAATAAAAAAAAAGACTTACTGTTACTTGTTGAATATTGTGTTTATCAAAACAATCAACAGCTTGAAATACTTCACTAGCATCAACACCATAAGCACGTGCAGCTGTTTGAAAAAGACCAATATTTTCACGTAGTTTAATTGGACCTCCCTGTGTATGAATTTTAGGTACAGAACCAGGTTTAAGTTTATTCATTAATCTAAAAAAAAAGAAATTCTTGTAATATATATTTGTATTATAATTGTAAACTTTACTTGCACAAAACAATTCCATCATGAAGAGCTTCTTCATAATCTTCAGTCGGAAATTTTTCACCAGTAATAGATTCGATCCATTCTCTAGCTGCATGTTCTTGTTCAACATCACGTTTGAAATGGATCTAAAAAATACATTCTTTATTAATTTTATTATAATATATATGTATCGGTTATACTTTATCCTTAACTGCTCGATCTAATGCCATGTTAGTTGTCGGTTGTGTTGAATAAAGAAAAAGAATACAATATGCTTTGAAACAACAGTAGATATATCCTGTCAGAATATTTATTGTTCTGTACTTTCCGTACGGTATTTAATTAGATGGCGAGTGGTTTGCTTGCTATCTTTCATCTCATCCAAATAGATAGTAGACAAATATCTATATTTGGTATTCAAATAAGAAAAGCTTTTTGCGTTACAAGAAGTTATTTGTAGTTAAAGACAAATTTTTACTTATTACTTTTGGAAAATGTCTAGGGTGGAAAAGTAGAAAGAGTAGAATAACAAATGTTAGATTATATTTAGAAATCTATTATTCATTAACATCGTAGGTAGTTGATGATATATGATAACATCTTTATAGAATAATAATAATCTAATCAGTTATATGCCGTTTATATCTATAGTTTTAGATTTCGAGAAACTTCTTTTATTATTGTCGATACAACTTACAATATTCTTTTGAAATATTATTCATAATATATCAATAATGATAGTTTGTTGTAACTTTTGACTTTACATAAAAACACTTCATTCTATCATTTTCTTGAAAACGAAAATTTTAGTAAATAAATGAAATTATTTAATCGATTGAAGAAATCATAGACAATGAATATTTTAACTTGTTCTTCTAACTCTTCAGGATAAATATAGTATATTAACAACTCCTATGATCGTTTACATTATCAAAACATGTATGCATGCAAACATTTATACCGATATATGCGGTCACGGATGAATTCATTTATTTCAATTTAGTGAAATAATAAGAAAGTCATTTTAATTGATTGTTTCTTCAAGCGAAAGAACGAATTTTAGTCTACATGTCGATGAAATATACTGACACAGACAAATTTTAATCATATACTTTTTACTCTCTCTCTTCTTTATGGTACCATAGCAATAGACTCATGTTCAGTTACTTTGCACTAAATAAATACAAACATATGAAAAGACATAGGTAGACTATGGCATCGATTATTTTGTCCTAAGATATAAGAGAAAAAAAAAAGGTTTCTTACGCATGTATGCCTCTGTCAACAGTCCGTTATTCATATGTGAGCAAAAGTGAAGAAAGAAAATTTATCCAAGATGTAAGACAGTATGAACTTTTTTTCTTTCGTGTCATTTAGTTCTTGTGATATCGCTCAATAAGAGAAGAAGAATAAAAAAAGAAGAAATTCAGGTGTGTAGTCAAGAAAGAGAAGAGAAGAAAAGGGGAATCAGTGTTTATTATCCTCCTGGGAACAAGAACTTACATACATACATAACATCATATAATACAAAAATGGTTTGTTGCTTTAATGTTGCATGTTTTTTCTGTACTTTATGTGTACTCATTGGTGTGACAAGTCTTATACAATTTTGTATGGGTCTCTATTTAACTTTTCTTCAAAGTGATATAGTGACAATCAATCGTCTTATAAAAACTGATAAATTCGATTCATATCTGGTATATGTTCTATTTGTATTTATTGGCTTGGGTTTTGTTTCATTAATGTTAGCATTTTTTTCAATTTATGGTGTAATTAAACGAAATAGATCTTTATCTTTATTCGTTACAGCTCTATGGGTTTGTTTTTAATTTGAATTATTTTTATCCAAATAATATTTTCTATATATTAGGCATTTTCATTTATTCTTAATCTTATCATGTTAGCTATATCAATTCTCTATTATTATTTTGTATTTTCCCAATTACGCTCGTTACTTGTTCATTCTTTTCAACAATCACCAGCAGCAACAGCAAGTTTACTTGATTCTTTTCAATTAAAATATAAATGTTGTGGAATTGATAACAAAGATGATTACAATTCAATCTCATCTGATTCATTTCCTTCATCTTGTTGTCAAGAACCGAATTGTTTACATACCAAAGATGTTAATAATAATAGTACTAGCTTAGCGAATAGCAAATCATTGCTGCATACAAATGGTTGTTATCCAATAGTTAAAAAATATCTTACTATTGAATTATTATTACTTATGGGTGTTACAGGTCTTTGTGCTTTATTACATTTTCTAGCAATTATATTATTATGTATTTTAAATCAACGTTACAAAAAATTTGATGATATTCCTAAAATAATGATACATCATCTTGCTAATGGAGTCCCGATTAATAGCAACAATTATGTACAAAACGTATCGAAAACTATTCATGAACCAGTTGAAATAACTCAAATTTAAAAACGAAGTAGAATATTATTTGAAAAAAAAACAAAAAATTTTAGTTGTGAGTGTATGTTTGTAGGCATTATACTTTTTTCTTATATATGATTTCGTAGTCTTCTTTATAAATTCTGTAGTGTTTTGTTTATGTGAAGAAATTTTTTTTTCGAAAAATAATTTCATCATTAAAATATTTGATTATTCTTTTTAAAGAATAGAAAGATATTTGATCATGTATTCATTGATCGTTTGAGTAGTTTCATATTATTGAACAATACTCGTTTCATATAACATTTGTCTTATGTATCAAAATATAAAAGAGCATCGCGATGAATAATACTTTTAGTATATAGACATAAGATTTCGATTTAAATAAGAGTTGAATGTCTAAAAATAAATTAAGCGATGAGATGATTTTGTAATCATAATTTTTATTCTCAATTCTTCTTTTTGAAAAATTTCAACACAAAATTCGTTTTATCAAAAATAATCTATCACCAAGCTTGAATAGATATCGAAAAAAAAACTATAATTTAAACCACTTGATCAGCTACCATTTTTGGTAAAATTTTTCGTACAATAAATTGAATAGCGAATGGTTTAATAACATAAATTGCAAATTGTTTCAATGCATACAATCCAATAATAGAATAACCAATAAGACGAAGAATTTTTAATATATTATCTTGTCTTTTTCGTAATTCTAAACATTGTTTATATGGAATTCTTGTAAATGTTACCATTGTATAAAGTGGTATCCACCATTGTGGTACTATACGATATAAGAAATTATCGATTTTCTTACGCCAATAATATGAACGTTGAGTTACTAAATGTCTCATTTCATGATGATTGTACATAGATAAATCAACAATTGCATGTGCATTTTCTCGACGATTTTTACTAAATTTAAAAATATTTATTTTGAAAATTGAATAGAAAATATTTACTCGTAATCAATGAATGATTTTGATAATTGAAAATTATTTTCTTTTAATTTTTCAAATAGAACTAATGTATCTTCAAATGCTGCATTCATTCCTTGGCCATAAAATGGAACCATTGAATGTGCAGCATCACCCATCAATAAAATATTTCCATCGACTGATGCATGTGGTGAACATTTTATTGAAACAAGTGGTAATGGTTGTGATGAAAAATATGTTTCAATTAAATTTTCTCGTCCAATAAATGAAATCGCATCAGGAAAATGTGTTTGAAAAAATGTCAAAAGTTCATCAGTTGTTGTTATTTTTTGAAATATAGGTAATGGTAAAAAAAGTGTTGTTGTAAATGATTTATCTTGATTTGGCAAAGCAATTAACATGAATTCATGACGTGGCCATATATGAAGATAATTTACTGCCATAGCATACTTAATAGAATCAAGAAAAATAATGAATAAATAAAATAATTTGTTAATTTAGTTTACTTCGTTGTTTTTTGCTGGAATACAAAATTCCATATAATTCGTATCAATATATTCTTGAGAGAAATCAACTGAATCGAGTTTCATCATTGCTGCACGAACACCGGAATGACAACTAAGAATGAAAAGTTTTTATTCATTGATTTAATAGAATATTTCATTGATTTACCCATCATAACCAATTAAACCATCGACTTTGAAGTCAACATGTTCACCGGATGCACTAAAGAATAAAAAAATGATTACAAATGATATGATTTTGAAATATTTTACGTTTGAAATGTTGCACTTTTTTCTTCTGAATTCCAATGAACAAATTTATGTTGAAAATGAATATTGATTTGAGGATATTTCGATGCCTCTAAACAGTTTAAAAAAAGAATAAATAATAAATTATTAAATATCAAGATACCGTCTAGTAAAAGTTCATTAAGAATACGACGATCAATTGATATGACTTCCTTTGAAAAATTAAAACATTCATTAAAACAAGAAAAAACTTTATTTATAGTACATGTTCCGGACGAGTACCATATGGGACAGGCGTTGTATGACACTTAAGGTCATGTAACATTCGTGCACGCATTGGTATACCATTTCGAACAATCATATCTTCACAATTAACATAAGCGAGGGCATCACGACCTCGACGAGATAATGCCATATTAATACTTCGACCTTTAACAACTTTTTGTGTACGAATATCTAAATTATATAAATTATTTATTTCTAGAATAACAAAAAGAATAAGACAAACCTGATCGAAGTTCAAATAAATGAACTTTAATGCCATGTTTAGCGAAAAATAAAGCACATAAAGTACCACCCTATAAAATTTAATTTAGAATTTCATTAATTTATTTCAATTGATTACATACGAGTCCACCACCGACAATAGCAACTGTTTGAGTAGAATTATTTTCAACACGACGTGCCATATCTATAACTGTAAACTGAAAAACACACCTCTTTACTCTTATCTAATCGAGTATATATATATCATTTATTATGTAAGACAATTGATCATAGCGACATCTCGATCATTTTTACTGGTGTCAATCAAAGCCAGTTAATCTCTTTACTTTACTAATTTGAATTTTGTTCTCTATCTACTTAATTTATAAGTATAATTTCTTAGTATAGACTTTAAATATGTATCAATTGACAATGAAAACAAGACATTCAGTTCACTTTTTATCGTAACAATATTTTATAACTCTATAATTTAATTAAAAAAACACTTTCATATCATTAAATGATCAAATTATTTGCCTGTCATGATAAGGATTTAAAACTTAATGTGATTATTTATGCTAAATATCAATAGAGTTTCATAATAAGCAATAGGAAAAATATTCAAATTTTATAATCATGCATATTTCAATTCTTATATCATCACTATTCATTTTTTCAATAAAATGTCATATTGATGAACGGACTGAATGGTCACCGTGTTCAAATAAATGTCATCCTGGTTATTCATATAATATTCGTTCTTTTGATAAATCAATTGAATTACGTAGTTGTTTAGAACAAGATCTCGTATGTATAAATGATGAACGTAAGAAAATTAATGAACAACAGAAAATAATGCAAGAAATTCGTCAACAATATCTATCAAAAACATTAATTCAAATTATTTTTTTATTAAATGTAGCTATCGGACTTACAATAACAATAGTTTCTATTTATTATTTTCCTCGAAATACATCTTTAATTACATCAAACTATCAGACAGAGACTTTCAAGTAATAAAAAATTATCTTTAACAGACTACTATCTATATCAAGACGAAGAGTTTAAATGATCGTAAACTATAAACCACTTTTTTTATTCTATGAAAATATGTCAAGAAGTATTTCGTCTACCTCTTACATATGTAATATTCAGTGTCATAAATTATTTGCCTTCCAAAATAGTTTCTATATATACATGAGATTTTATTTATTGATATCATCAGCATACATTTTGAGCTGAAATAATACTTAATTTATGATGACATTTTTATTGTTTTACTTATTTCAAATAAAATATTAAACTATCATTATACAAATTCTATCTTTATTTTTGTATTGACATATATATGTATGTTTAGAAAAAAAAGAACTTTAATTGTCAAGAATGTATATTATTTCTCTTCTCTTACTCTTATCTCAGATTAATCGTGATAGTAATAACAAATATTTATAACAGTAAGAAGAATAAAAACTCAAAGAAAAAAGAAAACGAAAAATGACACCTCTTATTTGTCTCTGTTTCTATCACATTATTTCTCTTCTGTTTTCTTAACTTCATTATTTATTACAACTTTCTTATAAAATTTCAAGTGTATTCATATTGAGCATATCATCATTAAATAGTGAACATTATGAATACTTCAAATGATAAACAAACTCTAGCATGGCCAGCAAGAACCTCAACAACGATGAAACCTAGTTGGCAAGTTGCTCGAGATATTTCAACCGCTGTTCTATGGAAAAAATCAGCAAGATTAAGTTTAAAACAAGGTTTATATGAATTGATTTTAATTCAAATAATACTTATCACTTTTATATTTAGAAACTACGCCTAATTTCACTACTCAACGATCTATATTTAAAAGACAATCAAGTTATGCACCAAAATCTATTTTAAAACCTTCACAAACAGATGGAACACCTCGAATGCCAACTGAAAAAGAAGCAACACTCGTATTGTTTTTTCTATTATCTTCAAAACTATATATTATTTTTAACGATAGGCTGCTATTTCATATAATTTCTTATGTTCATGTTGTGGTAGTTCTTGTGCTGGTGATTCAATACGTTGTCGTGTTTGTATTAAAGCATATGATTTACAATGTCTTACTCAACGTGGTTATCTTAGTCATCAATTGGTTCCTTTACGACGTCATGCAAAACAAGATTGGAGTTGTCCAGATTGTGTAAATTATTTTCAAATGAAAATATTTTTTTGATTTAAATATTATTTAGAGTGATCTAACTCGTTTACTTAGTCATGATGAACTTATGCATTTAATGAATGCATTTGATCAAATTGATCGAGATAGAGGTGAAAATAAAAACAAAATTTTAAATAGCATCCATTGTATTCTTTTTAGATGGCTATATTGTTTTGGAAGAATTTCTTTCACTCAAAGCAAATAAAACCGGATCAGATGGTCTTGAATCATTTATTCAACATAATCAAGATTTAGGAAAGAAATATTTTAGTTTAATGGATCCAATACAACAAGGTGCTGTTGCTTGGTCAGACTTTATACGACTTTATAGTTGTAAAGTCATTGCTGCTAAAGATAGAGTACATATAATTAACTCGTTTACTTAATTTTTTATGATATATTTTTGTTAAGATTGAATTAACAACAAAATTAACAGAAAAAGAATTAGTTGCTGCTAGAAGTTATTTTTTGAAAGATCCACGAAAATCATACGATAATGATTTTAACCGAATTATAACAAGAGAATATTTTAATCGGATTCATAATAATCTTATTCTCATATTGAAGTATATAGATACAGATTTAATAATGAGAATATTAATATGAAAATTTATATTTTAGTCAAAAATATGGTATTGATTTTATAGATGCAATTTTAGGTTATGACGATCGTCCTGGTAACATCACTGAGTAAGATTTTTAAAGTCAAATAATTTTTCTATATTTAATATTTCTTAGTAAATCTCCTTTAATGAATTGGTCAGAATATCTTCGTGAAATTTCGCTTCTTATTTTATTAAATCGTGCTAATGATATGACGAGTGAAGGACATCGTGCACCAGCTCCTCCTCATCTTTCTAATGCGCAAACAGTTGTTCCCTCGGGAACAAATGATCCATCAAATAAATTTCCAATATCAAGATCAAACACATTAATAACATCAACATTTCCAACTATGTCATATGATGAATCATTTCTTAAACATGCAAAACTTTTACAAAAAATACAAAAACGTCATCAATTTGAAGAGTTAAAAAGGAAGCAAATGGGTTCGAATATAAATTTTACTATCGTTGAAAATAATGATGATGACAAAGGGCGTATGAATTTACCAAAATTAAAAGTGAATGCTCGAGATGATCGAAGAACAATTACCGATCCATGGACTTCTGTTAAAGAAATGCAACAATTACGAAATGAACCAGTACTTATTCGAACAACACTAAAATTTTGATTGATTTATTTTGTAATAAAAATAGATGTCACTAAGATAAAAATTTACTTTCTTTCATATGATTTGTTTATTACAAGACCAACAAAAGATCTTGAAAAGAAAACTAAATTAATTCATCTCTGTTCTGTCCTTTGCATTTCTTCTATTTTTTCTAAGATGAACGTGATTTAATAATTATTTATTAGAAAAACTACTGGTGACGTTTATTTTTTTTTAAGTTTGTATAATTTTAAGAAAGAATAAAATAAATATTTATTAGTTTAATATTATTTTTATTTATTATTTGTGAAAGATTAGATTACAATTGAATTAGTATAATAAGATTACAAAATATCATAGAGTCAAATTTAAGCTGTAGATCACATATATTGAATTTTCGTTAAATATACATATTAAGTCTTCTGTTTTCTAGTAATATATTTAACTTAGCTCCCAAATTATTGTCACTTACTTACCGCATGAACTACTCTGATATAGTTGAAACGTGATATAACATGTGATTTAAAAATTCTTATCTATACACTCGTTGTTCTACACAAATAAAAAACTATTATCAGACAGTAACTAAAAACTCAGACCGAGCGATAGGAATGCTTTGATTCTAGAATTGAAAATAAATCAATATTGACAGAATCATTTTCTGTTCGTTTGCGCAAAAAACGCTGACTAATATATATATTTCTCAGATGTATTCAATTAAATTTCTTTTTTCCTCACGCTATCCGTCAGACTCTAGTAGGGTAAATGATGCTAATTGTCTTTTGCTTTTTTTTTCTCTTGTATAAGAACGAACAATTAAATAATACTTAATTAGTTTTTCTTTTCTCCAAACAAAGAGAACCTATTTTCTAACTAGTATTAAAAATGAATAAAAAGACAGCAGATGCGAAAAAAAAAAATTAATAGCACATGCTACAATAATATCAGTAATAGATAACAAATACTGATTTTCTCTTTCTTGTCAATTGAATACAAACCTACAGTTCGAAAGAAATATTAAGAATAGTATTCGCATGGCTATCAATAATGAAAATATTAGTTTGTCAATATTTAATCAATCGAATGAAACACGAAATCTTTTTCAATCGATGTATCATACAATTAAAGATTTCATTGCAGCAACCGAAAAAGATGTTTACAAAATAGACGGTATGATTAGAATTTCTTATTAGACTTAAGTTTAGTATTAAGCATATTATTTAAACGATGATTAGTAGTTACATAACAAAATCTTGTTTATGTCACCTTCGGTTTCTCTGACTAAGTAATGAATCACATTAATGTACCGTTCTGATTCGATCAGGCATCTTCGCTTATAGAAATACGACATGTAAAAAAACAACCGGTACATTTTCTTCTATATTCATGATCCGAAGTAATCAGAGATGTATAAACATTTATAATTTCAGATAATTGTGTAAATATTCTCTAATAAGATGCACTAAAAATCAAAGCCATTTTTTCCTATTTTTTTTGTCCATTTTCATTTTTCTTAAATATTTCATTTGGACTAATTCAATTCTGTCAGATTGAAATATATCTCTAAAAATCTACACACACACATATATTTATAAATAATAAAATGTCAAGCAGCGCCTTAGATGCAGAAAAAATTGAATCCAAACAAGAAGAACGTACAGCAAATGTTCATCGACTTGATTCACTCAATTTACTTATATTTACCACATTACTTGTCGTTGTTGTTTTAACAATTTGGGTATTCAAACGACGAAATTTTCGATATATACATGAAACATGTTTAGCATTATTCTATGGTAATATATTTAATAAAACAAAACTATAATAAAATTTTATTCAATAGGTTTTATAATTGGAGCTGTTCTTCGTCATACAAGTACATCAGATACAAAAACAAATATATTAAAAATGAACGATACGATTTTACCAAAAAATAATGTACCAAACTACATATCATTCGAGTAAATCTTTCAAAAATAAATTCGATATTTATTGTTTTTGTATTCTATCTTTAGAGATTCAAATATGTCAGCAGTATATTTATATAGTTTTCAAGGACCATATCAAAAAGATACAGTACCATTAGATGAACATAAGGTTTGAAGTTTAAAATTGAAAGTATTATTAAAAAATTGTTTTGTTTAGGTTATGTTTAATTCGGAAATATTTTTTAATTTAATTCTGCCACCAATTATTTTTCATGCTGGCTATAGTATGAAACGAGTATGTGTTTCTCTTTTGCTTTAAAAATCTATTTTTTTTTTGTAAATAATAGAAAAATTTTTTTCGTAACCTTGGAGCTATTTTAATGTTCGCATTAGTTGGAACTACAATTGCGTGTATATCGACAGGGTATGAATAAATATATTTTGTATTTACGATATATCTTAAATTGATTTTTTTAAGAATAATGGTATATGGTTCAGTCCACGCATTTAGTAGTTTAGATTTTTTTTCATTTACGGATTCACTTTATTTTGGTGCTATAATATCAGCAACAGATCCAGTCACGGTATTAGCCATATTTAATGATTTAAATGTTGATGTAGATCTTTATGCAATTATATTTGGTGAAAGTGTACTTAATGATGCTGTTTGTTTGGTACTTGCTAAGTAAAGAAAAGAATTTGTTTTTTTTTTAATTCGAAATTTATCGATTCGTTTTAGTTCAATTGAAAAATATGTCGCTGGTGCAATTTTAGATAAATTTGATCGAACTCTTATGTTAAAATCATTAGGCAATTTTTTTGTTGTATTTATTGGTTCATTTGCTATTGGATCAGGAATGGGATGTCTTACTGCATTGGTAAAAATCTTATTTAAATTAAAAAAATACATATGTATTTTATTTTATTAGATGACGAAATTTACTTATATTCGAGATTTTCCACTTTTGGAAACAACACTTTTTGTTCTGATGTCATACAGTACATTTTTGGCTTCCGAAGCTGCAGGATTGACAGGTAATTTGGAAATATATATTAATAATAAGAAATCTTAGAAGTCAAACTTATGAAGAATATAATGAAAGTTTTAGAAAATTTACAATAAACAAAAAGTAATATTTTGACGAAATTTGCTTAGCTTGTTACTGAATCGATGACATTGACATTTTGAAATCCATGTCAGGATTGAAGATTAGTCGGAATTTTATTTGACAACAAATTTTAATTTTTCTAATGTTCATATAGATTAGTATAATTGTCATTTTTTATCATATGCATCGCTGCTTTTAATGACATTTTTCTCTATTGCTTCATTTAACTTTCATCTTTTCTGTAATCAAATCTGATAGATTTATTATAGAGTATTGAAATAGGATCGAACCAATAAGAAGAATATATTTAAATAATTTTATTAAATAGGTATTGTTGCTGTACTCTTTTGTGGTATATTTCAAGCGCATTATACATTCAATAATCTTTCAAAAGAATCCCAACAACGAACACGTGATGTATATTATAATAAAAATCTTATTATAGAAAATTGTCAATTATTTTCTAATTTAGTTATTTGGATTATTTAATTTTCTTGCTGAAAATTTTATATTTATTTATATTGGAATAACATTATTTACATTTCCTAGTCACAAATGGGATATGCGATTTATTATTCTATCTATTGTAAGATGAAATATTATCTTCCTTTTTTTTATTCTAATATTCTTTTGTTTTTATTAGATGGCTATTTGTTTAGCACGTGTTTTATGTGTTGTATTTCTATCATTTATACTTAATTTATTTCGTAAAAATCCTATTAGTTGGCGATGGCAAATGATGATTATATTTTCTGGTTTACGTGGTGCTTTTGCATTTGCATTAGCTATTCGAAATGTTTCAACACATGCTCGTTCACTTATGTATACAACAACATCAGTTATTGTTATCATAACTGTTGTATTCAATGGAACATTAGTCGCACCAGTTTTAAAATTACTTAAAATTCGGTAAGCGAAAAAAAACAAACAAATTATTTATATAAAAAGAATTTCTTTTATTGATAGAATGAATGTCAGTGAAGAAATTGAAACAACATCTTCACGTGATAGATATCGAATTATGGGAAATAATAATGTAAGATATTCGAAGTTTATTTGATTCTTCCAACTAAGGTCGAAAGTAAAAATATCGAAATATGAAAATGATAAGATTTTGGGTATTCGAAACAACTTAATAGGAAAAATAAAGAAAGACGTTTGAGGGTTAGTGTGAATACAGACACTCATCTATATTTAGCCACACCCATCCCCACACCCACATCCACAGCCTCACCCTCACCCTCACCCACGCCAATACCCACATCTACACCCTTCAATACTTTTGAATTTCGACTATTTTCAATTCGATATTCTTACATTCGACATTCGGCATTTGTCTAATTTTATTTCGATATTTTTATATTTCGACATTTTTTCTTTTCGACCAAAGTTGGGATTACCTTTTATTTTTTATCATTATAAAAAAAGAAAAGAATAATAAGAGGAGAGAAGAGTATATAAAAACTAACCAACAATATTTTCAGCGAGTACGTCGTTCATCAGACGAGGTTGCGTTGTTGAACAATGAAGATGAAACTCCAATAGCAATCGATGTTCGACCAGATACATCAAGAAAAACAAAGGTATTTTTTGTTTGTTTTTCTGCGAGAGAATTCGCAAATATATCGTTGCTTAAATAAATGCATTAACACAACTAACGCTTGGTGACGGAACGAAAAAAATTCTTAAATAATTACAAAACAACAAAATAACATAATCATTTTTATTATAGGACGAACAAAAAAAACAATCAAAAACATGGCTTTTAAATAAATGGTCACATTTTGATAAAATGTAAATATTGATCTTGTTTTACTATTAATAATTCTTTTTTATTTAGTTTTATGAAACCACTTTTAACGCATAGTTATCCACCGTTAACAGCTACATTACCACCATGTCTTTTACCTATTACGAGACTTTTAACAACAAAAGAACAACGTACTATGGTAAATTTAATTTCTTTTTTCTTCATATCATAGCTGATTTATTGTGGGAAATAAATGCATGATTTTTTGATTTTCAAATATGATTTTGTTTATGTTGATTGTTTTCTTTTTTTCTCTTAAACAATCATAGAGTCGAAACGAAAATTCATTATCAAATCTAACACCATCAATGATGAATAGTGATGATTCAATACTAAATAATAATCATACAGTTCCTACACTTGAATTGATTGATATGGATAATAGTGATGATTATTTAACAGGATCTAATTTTAAATCAAATACTCGGACTAATGTAAGTGATTTCCAAATAGAAAAAACAATGAGATAATAGCTTCTATAATATATAAATGCATGAATGATTCCAGGATGCGATGAGTGTAAATCTTCATACGGATAAAAATGGCGATGTTATTGCACATTTTACTGCATCATCACCATCATCGTCAGCTGCAGCACAATTACTATGAAGTAGATTAAATGTGCTTTATCTTGCTTAATATTTAACGCTTTTTTTGTGTTTTGCTTTAATTATATGAAGGAATTATTTGATTTTTAAAATTTATTTATTTATTTATTTATTTTAGCAAGTATTAGATACACAAATGGATCCATTAGTTCAATTTGACGACGATGAAACATTAGCAAATAACATTGGATAAAAACCATCAATGTTTTTTGTTGTGATATATTTATCTATTTGTTTTTTTTTAGAGTGTATATATATATATATATATGCGCTATTCTAGAAATAATTGTGATTGAACAAATGTTTCGTTTTTTCCCGAGATCTCTTGATCATTTATATATTTATTGAAATATTTTAAATGTTGAAAATATATGAAATAAAATAATTTTTAATTGTATCTTTCAAATAATTCATCAAGAATTTCTTCACGTTTAGATAAACCTATATAGAAATTCAAATACAGAATAGTTTAGATTGATTTTGTTTTGAAATATCTAAGTAATACATACGTTTATTACAGTTAGTTCCATAATAAGGTGTTTTACATCGACAAAAAAATGTTTTATCTGATGGCACACATTCACCTCCATGAAGACATGGTGAACTTGAACAAGAGTTTTTCGTTATTTTATTATTGGTTTTATAACCGGTTGATTTAAATTCTATATAATTCATAATATTTATAAAAGAAAAAAAGGAAATTTAAGATAAATTTTTCTACTTTTTTCACAATTTCTTCCATAATATTGATCTGTACAATAACAATAATGTCTACCACTAGGTAATGTTCGACATGTTCCACCGTTTTTACATGGATTTCCAACACCACATGCATCTTTTCAATGTTCCAAAAAACAAAATATTACAATTACTATTTAATAATAAATCTTTTACTAGATGGAGAGTTGCAGTTTTTGCCGTTGAAAAGAAGCGATGAAGACTTATCTAGAGGAATTTCTCTAACTAGGTTTCTAAGAGTTGTAGTCAGAAATTAAATCTTCCCATAGTTTTGTAGCTCTTTCTCTGACAGTGCTAGAATGATTCCGACAATCAATATATTCATATACTGTTTTTCTAAATCTTAGACAGGCCAATTCTAATAAAATATATTTACCATTGAATTTTTTACCATACTTGTCCGTAGGAATAGATGATGATGTTGTTGTTATGAGAGCTGATATAGCATCAGAAGTTGGTTTTGATGTTGTTGTTTTTTTCGATTTTCCCAAAAAACGTTTTATTGTTTCAATAATTTCTTCTGAAGAAAAATTCTATTTACAAATTTTTAGCAGAGACATATCTTACCTTCATTATTATTTGTATTTAAAAAGTTTTCTTCATCATCAAGATTGTCATTACGTGCACGTTCAGCATGTATTATTGTAATAAATAGAATTGCAATTAGAAAAAAATGATAATTAATCATGTCTTTTTTTTGATTTCAAAGAATTTCTCAAATGAAAAATGACAAAATACTTTTGTTTTTTATATACGAAGATAATAATTTAATTTAGCTAAAGTGTTGACAAATGATAGTTTATGAGATAAATCATCAAGCTGTATATATCATCCATTCATTGTACAACTCAAAATAGCACATGTTGATATATGAAGGAAATCTATTTTAGGAATATTCCTTCATAAGTTCTTGATGATTCTCGAAATTATATTCTGTTTCAATAAATTTCATCATAGGATAATTTCTATTTGTTTTTGTAATAAAATCAATGAAACTATTTAATGTTTTATTATCATGATGAGAATCATAGCAGATGTAAAAAAAGCCAACTTAATAACTTTCGACTTTAGTATTAAGAAAAATGAATAGATTTAAATAAAAATATCATCTGCCAGTCATGTGTTTTATATGAGTCATTCAAACAAGTTTTGCACACCGAAGATAAGAATCCGAAGAAAAAGAACATTGACTAGTCACCTCACACTTTTATCCTTACATCACATATGTTAAACATCGATAAGAATATAATTTAATCATGTTTCGAATGTTATTTTTTATAATCGTTGGCGTTCTTGTCTGTATTCCACATACATCAATTCAAGATGTATCAGTACCAACAGAAAATCAACATCAATATGTACGACGAGCATCAGCAGTTAATAAAGCTGACAGTATTCAAACTTTGATTGTAACATTAAGTGAACAACAATATCAATATGAAACAGCATATTATGCATTAACATTAAATAATGTTTTTCCAAATTTTGCAAAATTATTTCACGAACGAAGTGAACAAAAGTATGTTATATAATTTATGATGATGTAAACAGAAATATCTTTTTTTTCTTGTTGTAGATACCATGATGTCAAAGGTCTTATTCGTCTTTGTCAAGTACTTAATTTTGAAATTAATTTACAACATATATCATCAGTTCGAGCTGATCGAACACTTCGTCTTTTATCACCTAATCATTTGAATAAAACAAATTTTGCTCAATTTTTTTCCGAATTACAAAAATCTGAATGCGATACAACACGTAAACAATTAGATAATGTTTATCACCAAACAATGAATATATCTGTTCCATTACAAATGTATTTAAAAGAAAAATTGTATATGAAACATATTTTAACATGTAAACGAACATCTGATCTTTATACTCAACTTGATCGTTTTATTGATGGAAATTTAAATGATAAATCTATTCCATTTTCATTTATGTTTGTTGATTCTCGTGCTAAAAATATGCTATCAGAATAATTTTTTAAGAATTAGAAATAAAGAAAAAAAA